TTTAGAGACGTTGGTGTTTCAAAGGCGTTTTTTTCCTGGCAGTTAAACGTCTTCTCTTATCAATCTAGCTTAGAAGTCAGCGTTGGTCACTTTCACATTACAGATTGTTATCGGTCAATAGTCAGGATACCTAGTTGTATAACTCATAGCTTTGTTCCTGACATACTGCCATAGAAAGACTGGTAATCGACATTCCACTCAGGATTACTATAACCAGACTTCTACTTTTCTCTGACACTACCTTGCAGACCCTACTAAATTTAATCACAAAACTAGTGTTTTTTTGCATAACATTAGAATTAAATATTGTTATTGTTCTCAATTTTCCCGAGAAAAAAATCAAACGAAGATCATCTCAGGAGTGTCAAAAATAAGTGTACAAAGATAAAGCAAAGTCGGTTGAGTAGTTTTCATGGTTATTTTCTCATAATACTGTTTTATATACAATTGAGATTTACATTAGTAATATTTTTATGATTAATGTTCTATAAATATTATTATGAATAATGATAATGCTCCTTAAAATTTTAATGTGAACCATTTATTATACAACAATAGATACTCTCATAAATGTTCCAATTATCAGGATGACGTCATCTTCGTTTATTTACTTGTATTCTCATCATTTTTAGTTTTATTGTATTTTTATTAAGGTTTTTTTTATTTGAAAACGTACGTTACCTATCAGAAGTGCTATTATTATTTTTACGCCATTTTTGCTTGGATTTAATTATCGTCTTAGTTAGAATTCTATCTTTTAGAAAGACTATTATTCTTTAGTTTTATTTTATTATGTGTCTTAAATCGTGTTGTAATTTATGTTATAGTTTTCTTATGTTTTTTTTTTGTTTCTCATTATGTTCCTCATAAAAACTAATGTGATAATTATCATTCCCTATTGATTAAGTTCTCGCTTCAGTGTTGGTGAAACATTTTGAATCAAAAGATATATTAGTGAGTAAAAAAATTGAAAATTTTTTTGCTTTGCTTCACAAAGTCTTTGGTAATCACAGACAGCTGTTTCAGCAGTTATGCCATTGTCATATGCTCGACATACACTGAAAAGTCTATGTTAATCACTTGGCTTCAATCTAGTAAAAGTGTTCAGGAAGCGTATATTCTGCAACATGTATGTGTTCGTGTATATGTAAATTATGAGATGCTATGTATTGTATTTTTTACAATTGGAAATAAAATAAAATTAATTTGATCATTTGTTATGAATTTGTTTAGTTTTTTGATATTTCTATTTTTATTATTTCAAACATATTTAATTTTGAACTTTTGAGTAAATTATGTAGTAACTTTCTATTATTTACGTCTTGAAAATGCGCATCAGAGTCACAATGTTCACTAAAACCCGTCGTATTGCGGCCGTTATAAATCAACTTTTTATGCTCCTTTATACATTCCAAAAGAGCACGTCCTGTCTTTCCCATGTATATGGCATCGCATTCGGAACAACTAATCTAATAAACACCACTTCCTTGTAAAATACCAACTTTTTCTTTATTGTTACGTAGAATGGACTTTAAGTTACGTTTATTTCCTATGATTGAATTGCCATTATGTTTCTTTCAAAAATTACTAATGTTACTAGATACTATGGGTACGTAATTCAACACAAAGTTTTTTGTCGTGTGTTGTAACTGGATAAAAATTTATTAAAATGAGTTTATTGTTCATTATAAATATTGACTTCTCTATAAGGTTTTGATTTAAGCCAGTATTTACTGCCAAACATTCTAATAGGTTGATTTCCTCATTATAACTAGATTTTGTTAAAGGTACTGTTAATAATATATTTACAAAAAAGTAAAACGCGCTCATATTTATATTGATGGATTTTTTTGAATCGTGCGGTATCAGCGTATTTGTGAAAGTTGATTTCCAATAAATTTTATACGACAACTCCCGTTGTTTTCATGTAATTTTTAAGCTTAGAGCACTTTAACTATTGTCATATTCAATTTTAGCTGTAAACTTTGTACCTGGTACTGAATCGTTTATATAGTTGAGAAAACTAATTATTGTCCTCTGTGTAAATACAAATCATATCATCGACTTGCCTCGACCAGTGTAGAACATTACGGGTTAGGGGGGTGGCTAAATCGAATATAAGGTACTCCACGTGCGGCATAAATATTTTGCGGAAAAGGTGAGCCCATCAGGAAACCGTTGAGTTCTAAATAATATTTGTTATTGAACATGAAAAAGCTTTGCTCTGAGCAAATGAATAGCAATTTTATAATTCTTTGTTTTAAATCAGCACACAAGGAAAAGCTATCATCAACTTGATTTTTAATAATACTTTTTTTTTCGTCTGTAGAGATTAAGGGAAACAGATTAATAACATTAAATGAGATTAATCAAGTATAATGCTGGATTTTGAGATCTCTAAGTTTACTTATTACTTGACTTGTGTTTTTAACGCTGTATTTTGGCTTAAAATTAGGAAAGGACAAGAGTATTTTATTAAGTGCTTTTGCGAGCAAGCAAGTTAGTGCATTAGTTTTACACTTAAGTAAAGTTTTATAAGTGTAACAACTATCTTCATTTTAACAAAAGATTCTTACGACTACATTTGGTACCCACATATATAAAAATTAACTGCCAACACAAATTAATCGAATCAATCGCAGTGATTAAAAAAGCATACACTTACGGGCTAAATATGGAATTAAAGAAGTGGTATAGAATAAGGGGCAATTCATCGCACCACTTTAAGTTTATACATAGTGAACTCCGCAGACGTTGCCATAACGTACAATTTGATGTATTTGATGAAGAAACGAGAAATTTTGCACAAAAAATCTCACATTCATTGCGCCAAACACATACTTAAAAAATAGATAAGGTCATTTAGAAGAAAAACATAACAGAGAGCAAATAATTAACCACTTCATCTACATACAACCAAGGTTGATAAGCAATAATATACTACGTCTTCAGCCACCACGGAATCAGGGGAAAAGCTTTCTTTTTATCCGGGAGTCAAGAACTTATCCAAAGTTACCTTCACACAAAATGAGGTGAACATTTTAACTAAAGGTTTAAAGCATTATCCTAATATTGAAAATTTTAAAGATTTCATCAAGTTTTCAGTTAATGCAGAAATAGCATCAAAAAATGTACATAAAACGAACTTCAAATTTTAAGATACAAATACGTTGATATAATTGATAAACACAAAAATTAGTTCTCAGTTAACAATAGATCAGAACTAGAAAGTATTATAACTTTAAGAGAAAAACTCAAAACTAACGATTAATTTTTATGTAAAGCAGACAAACGGAACACCGTTAGCATTTTAGATAAGCATGACTGCATTGAAAACACAGAAATTTTAATACATAACGATAACGTGTATACGTTATCTGTTACGAATCCTACAGTCCCTGTGCTGTATAGGTTACCAAAATAAACAAGGAGGGCATACCAATGAGACAAATAGTATCTTACACTAATGCACCAAATTACATGCTAGCAAAAGCACTTGATAAAATACTCCAATCTTTACTCAATTTTTAGCCAAAAATAGCATCAAAAACACAAGCCAATTAATAAGTCAACTAAGAGATCCCAAAATCTTATACAATACACGATAAATCTTATTTAATGTAATAAATCTGTTTAACTCTATCCCGGCAGACTTTAACAAAAAAAAAAAAAAAAAAAAAAAAAAAAAAAAAAAAAAAAATAGAAAAGTAAAGTAGAAATCTAGTTAATAATGGCTATCAGAAAACCTTATGGATAACTGAATATTTGAATTGTACAATAGACTCATTTTACTATATTTTTTTCCAGTGACAACACACGACAAAAAATTTTACGTGTTGAATTACGTATCCATAGTATCTAGTAACATTAGTAATTTTTGAAAGAAACATAATGGCAATTCAATCATAGGAAATAAACGTAACTTAAAGTCCATTCTACATAACAATAAAGAAAAAGCTGGTATTTTACAAGGAAGTGGTGTTTATCAGATTAGTTGTTTAGTATTATTAATAGACATGGGAAAGACAGGACGTGCTCTTTTGGAATGTATAAAGGAGCATAAAAAGTTGATTTATGACGGCCGCAATACGACGGCTTTTAGTGAACATTGTAACTCTGATGCGCATTTTCTAGACGTAAATAATACAAAGTTGCTACATAACTTACTAAAAAGTTCAAAATTAAATATGTTTGAGACAATAGAAATAGAAATAGCAAAAAACTAAATAAATTCATAACAAACGATCAAATTAATTTTATTTTATTTCCGATGGTAAAAAATACAATACATAGCATCTCATAAGGTACATATATACGAACACATACATGTTGCAGAATATACGCTCACTGAACGCTTGTACTAGATTTATGCAAACCGATAAATATAGACTATTCAGTGTATGTCAAGCATCTGACAATGGCATTACTGCCGAAACAGCTGTCTGCTTTTAATAAAGACATTGTAAAGCAAAGCAAACAAATTTTTAAGTTTCTTGAAGTTTTTTACTCATTAATATATTTTTTTGTTATATATATTATTAAATTTTTTACTAACTCTTTCTGTTATAAAGAATGATATAACTGTTTTTAGAACTGGTAGAATACTAACCATTATTATGTTCATTAACTATAAGACTTTGATTTCATTATCCTGATGACAATTACGATTTTTTTTTATTAGTGACATACTAGTCTGACAATCGTTCTTACATTATATTTATGATCACATCATTAAACGTTTAAATAAAGTTGTACCCAACAGTTCAGGGATAACTTTGTTCAATTATCTTAGCAAGTGACAGCTAGCAGCTATATTAATCTTGTATACTGTTTTTTTGAGAATTTTTATGAATAGTAGAAGAGAACTACATGTTGATGATTATTAGCAATCATGCTTTATGTAAACTAAGCTTTGTTGCATGAATGTGCATTTCTCTTTTTTATGATTTTGCATGGTTGTATTTTATATGAATATTTATTCACTGTTGAAGTATATTTACCTAAACTTATTGGTTGCTGCTTCTCCAAGTTCGTAAAATTTTATTTCTTCAGAAAAAACGTCAAGAGGTACATTAACTGGCCTTCGCAAGCGGCCGCCACTTTGATAGTAATACAAAATCGCGTCAAATGACGGTCTATTCCTATCAAAAAAGTACTCATTACGTAATGGATCAAAGTAACGAATTCTTCGGTTGGGATCTCCTAACAACGTATCTGGAAATTGGTTTAAAGTCCTTAGCTGTGTTTCGAAGCGTAGTCCACTCACCTGAAATATAATAACTACTTTAAAAATTGACTTAAACTGAAGCAGCTTCATTGCATAGAAACTTGTTTTTACAATCATATAAAATATATTTATTTTTAAAATCGATTAATTATTCATAAGTACTAAAATTTATCGTTAAGAAGTATGCTAAAACAAATAATAAACAAACAATAAAGGAACAATTAAATAATAAGAATTCAATACGTCCAATAGGTATACAAGCGAACGTCGATACACTTTAATCATTGTATCAATAGGCGCATATGTATAGATGGCGGTACTCTTCATACAAGTAATCTCTATTACCATCCATACATGCCCTTGCTCAATATATATTTACCGATAAGCATTAGAGTCACATGCCTACAATATCTAGCTTAGGTGAAAGACAGCTTAAGAATTGAGAACGAGAACTTATCTAAACTTACGGTGCGAGTGAATGCACAGCTCTTTGGTAGCTCAAGTGGTAGAGCAACTGTCTAGTAAACAGGAGGTTGTGTGCTCGATCCGCACCCGGGGAGGATTTTTTCTCGTTCTTAATTATTTCTCCAAAGAAAAATTTCTTGAAAAAAAATTATGTGGATGTGTATTATCAGTATTTTCTTGACCTTATACATTGAGAAAGAGCATGTATGAATGGTAATAGAGAGTGCTTGTATGAAGAGTACCGCCATCTATACATATACGCCTATTGATACAATGATTAAAGTGTATCGACGTTCGCTTGTATACCTATTGGACGTATTGAATTCTAATTTACCAACAAGCATTAGAGTCACATGCCAATAAAATAATGAGAAAAAGAAAGAAATCTATGTATATTGGCTAAATGGTTTTAAGACAGAATCAAATACATACATTCGAGTTACCTATTTCAAAAGCAAAATAATGAAGTCTTATAAATCAATAAGTGACCTTTTGAAATACATGCTACTATTTAAAGGTATTTGAACTATTCCTTTAAGGCAGCCACAGTCTCATGTCTAGGAACAGATACTCAGTTAAAGACATTTTTGAACAGTTTTTATTCTTACTAGAGCTTTGTGATTGATATACTTTAGTTTAAAATTACTAAAACAAGCCTTAAATGATGTATGATTAACTAAATGAAAACGCAGTTAAGAAACAATATACTCATTTTTAAAGAAGTTGAGGCTTGAAAACAGAAAATTGGAGACATTGATAAGTTGAAAAATGTACGACAGGTACTTGAGACAAAAAAAATCAATTCGGTCATCATATTATGCACTTGCACTTACAAGTAAGCAAGTTTAACTTAGTAGAGCTGTTAGTTATTTGCATGTTAATTTTACTAAGTACGTATTTAACGTTGATTTAATAAATATGCATAAACAAGCAAAAAAAACGTAAAAAGTATTCTTAAGCAACACAGAAGAACAATTGACACAGGCAACACCTTGATTAGCTAAGAAGATAAAAAAACAAAACAACGAGGTAAAACGAGAAAAAGATAGCGTTCTTGTTATAACAAACTAGTGAAAGGTACAAACTAAAAAAAATTCAAAGTGATCAGTGATCCGTTGGGGACGAAATATAAGAAAATAAATAAATACAAGTAAAGTGTATTTAAATTTTCTTGCATTGATTTATTGATGCGCAACGTTTCGTTGAAAATATGCGTCAGCCTCATCAGGCTATAAAATTAGAATTAAAAACACACAATGAGTGATCTGGAAGGCTCAAACACAAAATACAATAAATTTTGATGTAAATTGTTACCGCAGGTACACGAGAATTCGTAAGTTTGGTTGACTTACTCGTCATCTGTCGTGCTATCGACGGACAATAAATTACAAAAACAAGCCAGCGCTTATATAGGCGAAGCCGCAAAGGAAGACGGTAAAGGGCGATGAACTCGATCGGGACATTTAAACTTTCGTAGTAAAGGAAGGTATGCTGTATTAAAGGAAAGCACATCCTCCTTTCTATTGATGTTGTGTTTGTCGAGTTTTATATAAAGCATTTCGGAAATAATTCTTTTTTTGTAATTGGATTCTTTGTCAAGGATTTTAAAGTTTTCCCAATCGAATTCATGGTCAAAGTTGATTTGGTGTGCACAAACAACGGAATCCGAGTTTTTACTTTTTATATGTTCACTAATGCGGACCTCCGCCGCTCGCTTTGTTTCACCCAAATATGACGCAGGACAATTTTTACAATAAAACTTGTATACTACATTTGTCTGCTTATATTTGTTCGTTGTATCTTTTTCTAAGCGGACGATATGCTGCAGTTTATTGTTAATAAGAGGGTAAGTGTGAATATTGTAGGGTTTTAACATGGTTGAAATTTTTTCAAAATTATTGTCAATGTATGGTATGCCAATTTTGCAGAGAGGGTAGGTGTTTGTAGTGCTTCTGTTATGATTACTATATTTGTGTCTTTTTAATCTGACCTTTATATTTTTATTAATAAAGTTAAAAGCGTAATTGTTTTTTATCAACAGGTTTTTCACCCTAGCAATACTCACACCGTGAAAACGTGTACTGGCAAGTAAGATCGCCCTTTCAACCAAATTAAAAACAATACTTCTCTTATAGCTAACTGGGTGACCAGAAAAATAATTTAAGATTTGTTCGGAAAAAGTAGGTTTTTCAAACCAGTCAAAATTAAAATAATTAGAATTTTTTATTATCGTCAAGTCTAAAAAGTTGAGTTTCTTGTCAATCTCCATTTCATATGTAAATTGTAGTTTGGAATGATATGAATTAAAAATGTTTAAAATTTGGTCAATATGGTCAACATTAATAAAAAGTAATACATCATCTACGTAACGAAAATAAAAAGATGGAATAATGTTATAGTTATTTTTTAAGATGGAGAGACAATCATTTTATGAGACGTCATACGTGAGTGAAATAAAGCGAGCGGCGGAGGTCCGCATTAGTGAACATATAAAAAGTAAAAACTCTGATTCCGTTGTTTGTGCACACCAAATCGATTTTGACTATGAATTCGATTGGGATAACTTTAAAATCCTTGACAAAGAGTCCAATTACAAAAAAAGAATTATTTCCGAAATGCTTTATATAAAACTCGACAAACACAACATCAATAGAAAGGAGGATGTTCTTTCCTTCAATAGAGCATACCTTACTTTACTACGGAAGTTTAAATGTCCCGATCAAGTTCATCGCCCTTTGTCGTCTGCCTTTGCGGCTCCGCCTATATAAGCACTGGCTTGTTGTTGTAATTTATTGTCAGTCGATAGCACGACAGGTGACGAGTAAGTCAACCAAACTTATGAATTCTCGCGTACCTGCGGTAACAATTTACATCAAAATTTATTGTATTTTGTGTTTGAGCCTTCCAGATCACTCATTGTGTGTTTTTAATTCTAATTTTGTAGCGTGATGAGGCTGACGCATATTGTCAACAAAACGTTGCGCATTAATTAATCAACGCAAGAAAATTTAAATACACTTTACTTGTATTTATTTATTTTCTTACATTTCGTCCCCAACGGATCACTGATCACTTTGAATTTCCAAATTCACCGGAGGGCACTGATTTATACTAACAAACCGGTACAAACTAAAGTCTATAAAATCTGAGAATTTAGGTGTCACATTTAAAAGTAAGTTAAAAACAACAGAGCACGTGACTTTAATCATATAAAAGCAAAAAAATCAGTTAATAAGATTGTTACATCGTAAAAGAAAAACTTAAAATAGACAACTTGTAATGTCGTACGAAAAAAATCTGGTACCTAATAGTGTTAGCATGGATTGTTAATTTTTTTATTTGTGTTAAGCACTTACGCATATTATTTATCTTTTTATTATTGCAATGGATAAATAAGTTTTTGAAAAAGTTTAAAAAAAAAAATTGTAAAATAGTATACAATATCATTCAAACGGTAAGACTTCCAAATCTTTACCGCAGTCAGTCATTTTAATCATTTTATAGACCAAGAAACGAAGGCCCAAAGTCTGGAGCGGAAAAAAGTGCATTAAGAAGAACTAGTAGTTTTATTTTAACCAGCGTCAAATTTTGAGAGAAATGGCTGAGGAGATGATGTTGCAAAATAGACGCTTTACCAGCCTTGAAGTGTGTGTATGCATCTAGGTATATATGATATCGATACTCGTGCAATATCAACTTCTTAGCTGTTTCTCTCAAAATTTTATGCTATGAAATACATTTTTTGCAATGAACTACGATACTAACAATTTTTAACCATTTTTTCCGTGATCAAAGCATTCAAAAACACAACATTGGACAAACAATCTTCGAACTTTGGGCCTTCTTTTCTTGGTATATCATTTCATGTCTCGTTGAAAGTAGGAAAAAAAAACACTCAAACGTGTCAAGAATCATTTAAGTACTATCTTAAAAAACGATTGATATTACCAACTTTATTGCTCACAGTACTAAATTTATACTTAAGATAACCAAGCTTTAATATAGAACAATGTTTTTTTTCATTACATATAAAAACACACTTAATTTTGTTTAGTAAGAAAAATTTTAGAAACTTAAATGTTTAATAAATAACAAGATAAAATATCATTACAAATACGAAATCATAGTCTTATGTAAAAAAAAAAAAAAAAAAAAAAACAGTATTATCCTTCTTTCAATACAATGCATTTAGTTTTTTTAAATACTTTATATTTCCACGTTCAAATCTCAATGATGTATGAGACTGTCTAGGAAGTAATGACTAGCTTGAAACATTCTTAATAAAAATGGCATGTTTAACGTATGGCCATCGTAGAAAATAATAAATATAAATTTTGCAAATTTATAATTTAATTTTGCTGTATAAAAACCATTTTTAATATGAAAAAAACTTTGCTACTGCTGACAGCTAACTTTAGTTTAAGTTTATTTTGAAAATAAATTTTTGTTTAACGTTTGACTACGTACGATTCTTCAAAAATAACTATTCCATTTTAAAATGGGTTTTATTTAAAAGCTGTGACTGAGGTTTGAATATAAGATTTAACGTAGTATACAGTATTCAAAGAAAACTA